GGAGGGCTCGGCCGCGGCTGCCAGGCGCGCGGGAAGCTGCCGCCGCGGCGGCGGGACCCCCGCCCCTGCAGCGGGTCCTCCCCGCGGACACCCGTGCGCTCGCTCGGGATATGCACGGCTAGTAAGGCCATGAGCGCTTGCAGCTGTCATTTCAGAGCCGTGAACCTAATGCAGAGCTGGACAGGAAACCGTAACCGTCCAAGCAGCATCCCCCAAACAAGAGGAGAGCCTGCGCCCAGAAGACGTCATACATACATGAATCCAAACAAATTACATATATTTATGTATAAACATATATATGAACTTAAGCATTAACAAATGCACTAAATATTTGTAGAGATTTATATCTGTATGGGCTCTTGTCCACACTCCAAAAGCCAGCAGACAGACAAGTTACCTAAAGGCTGTAACCCCAACACGGGATACAGAAGGCTTTAATGGGGCACATCAGTCTTAAAGATTCYACTTAAGTTGCTAATTATGGCTTCTGAAATTGCAAATTAGATTTGAAATCCTGTCGTTAGAACATGTAATCACTCCTCTAGTTGCCCTACTTTGGTTTGAACTGTCTGTTTTCCTCCTCTTTCTGGARAGTTTTGCTCACACTCAGCGACATTAATCTCCCTGCATTTACTCTAATCTAGTCTATTTGACGTGTTCTTAACCCGCTCCCTGGAGGAAGCCAAGCCGCAGCATCCACCACACGGAGCTGCGCAGCTCCATGTGTGAGGAGCAGTATGCAGTGACGCATGAGACACCTTGTGGTGAATTTTGCCTAGTGTCAAGTTTATCTTTTCTTTAGTTCAGGGTCCAACACTCATTAAGGTCTACATTAAAAAAAAAAAAAATTAGTCCTTGCCTACAGTTGCCTACAAACAGCCACCCTGTTAGGGTTTAGGGCTGGACCCAAAGATCAAAGTCAATAGTAGGACTGTGATAAGGACTAGGTACAACCTCCTGCTCAAAGCAGATACAGTTTGATTAGGTTGCTCAGGGCCATGTCCAGTCAAATTTTATATATTTTAGAGGGCGGGGATTCCACAAGCCCTCCAGACAACCTACACCACATAAAAAAGAACCAAAACTTATCTCTCCTGGTTGGAATTTCCTGTGTTCCAACTTGGGTCTGCAACCTCTTTTCCTTACATTGGGTTACTGAAGAGAGGACCCTGTCTCTAGATCCTCCTCTGAGCTGGGACAAACAGTAAGATCCCCTCTTGGCCTTTGCCTCTTAAGATTGAATGAAATCACTAAAGTTTCTGGCATTACGTGGCCCAGAAGTGCTCCGTCTTTTTGGCTGATATACGTATGATAGCAAGTGGTATCGGACTGCCACTAAATGAAGCATAAAATGACTGGAAGAATTATYAAGAGACATTACAACATGCAGAGGCTTTCTTCATGCTTTCCATATCACTTTACAACAGTGACACTAGGCAGACACTAATATGCAGCCCTCAGATATTTACACACATGGTGTGCACGAGACTGGAATAAGTCTTTTTTTCCTTTGGTACAATATTCACTTCTGTTATTTGGCTGAATCTAGCATCCTGTGCTCCAAATGCCGCAGACAGGTGCCACTACAAACCAGAGAATACAGGATCTAAGTCAAAGAGCAACTTTAAAGTCAGCTTCACTGACAGAAGACTCAGATCATTGATGAAAGAACCTAAAACATGAAAATCTCATGCTCTGTTTTTCATTCAGAAATCATGGTGTTATGTGGGCAAACATAGTGATTGTCAACTTGACGCCTTGCAGAAGAATTAAGCAGACATCTGTGCTTATTCTGTCAAAAGATAGTTGAGATGTATACATACATTTAATCCGGGAACTTCCGGGAACTTCATACCAGAAGAACTTCCATGAAACTTTTAAGCAGAAAGTATACAAAAATTTTTTTTTCATTTAATGTTCTGTATGTTTATGACTACTTGAAAACTATGATGAACTCTGTATTTAGTCTTACTCAGGTATGGCCCACTCAAATACTGTCATGTTCTCTTTGCCCCTTCTTCCTCTCTTCCCATTTTGGATGGTTTGTTCCACTAGGACAAATCTTATGCACAATCAGTAAAATTACGAATTTGTATATACTGAATACATTCCTTTCTGCCCCCAAACAATCACCTGGTGGGATATTTGACCGTGAGAAGCATCTGAAAGTTCTGCAGAAGCTTTTGGTTGAGACTAGCGAAAGCCATTGCAAGGTGCTTCACGGCACGGTTGTGCTCCTGCCTGCCGTTGTTACTGTCTGCATCCTGACTTCTGCACCTGCTCATCCTCAGCATAGTCTGATGGAACCCACTGCACGTTTTGCCGATGGTAGAGCTTTGTCTGGTGTAAGACACACAGAATAAGGTACATGGGAAACAAAGTGATTCTGTGATGAGGATTTCTCAGGATGATACAATCTGCTCTGTGTAGAGATTACAAAGAGGCCACAATATCTGCTTCTCCTGAACCTATATACATTGCTAGATGCAGTGTTCATTTCTGGAGGTACTGTACAGTCACCACTACGTTCCCAAAGGCAGTAATAATGCACATAAGACACTGAACATTTCTTGTTCTTTTGTTACCTTTGCTATTTTTAATGGCATGTTGGTTAATTTGCATATTGATAAGTGACTGGTTTACAACACTTCAAAAGGTTTGGTTTCTAAGTACTGATAAAGCTAAGTAAAAATCTGAACGAGCCTCTGTCTGACTTGCACCAGTTGAAAAGCATACACATACATATTACTTATTGTTTTCATCACAAATTTTGATTTTTGTATTATATAGGAAAATACTTGTTATTGCACTGTTTAAAAAATGCTTAGGAAAGCATTAGGAAGGTAGGTCTGAGCTCTACGTGATGCCAAGGAATTAACGAAAAACAAAAAATAATGATGTCAAATATTTGTTTTCTTCATATACTTGTAAATTAATTCCAATTTTGCAGAAATATTTTATAAGCCACCAGTGGCTTCATCTCATGCATATGCAACTGGCTGAAGTAAACCAGAGCTATACTTCTGATACAAAGAGTGTGATATTTATTGGCTGCACAGCTAAATATGCAAACATTTGTTAAAACAAACGAATAGAAGCATAAGAACACAATCCCCAGTGACTTATGCAGTCAGCTAATGCATTCTGCAATGATAGTATTCCCTGCTGATTTATAACAGTGATATGCAATGACAGCGGAAGGGCAGAGAAAAGCCCAGAAGACACCTTTTCTTTCAGAAGGCTATTGGTAAAATTGTCAATTGAAAGTTAAATGATAGTGGGATTAAAACTGTTAAGTGAAAGTTAGATGACAGCAGATGACAGAGTGGGTTTGAAAGTATCTTTCTTGGGAATAGCCTCATTGATCTTAGAGCAGAAATTCTGATAGTCATCAAAGATTATTCTTGTTCTTTATATTTGCAACTTAATCTTAAGTAAAATAATAGTTCAAGACATGCAGTATAGAGTAGGGTAAACAGAGACACGGAAACTTAGCTGCATTGTCTTGCAATACTTTGAAATCATCACCTTCACAGCAGGGACACGCTTCCAGTTCTAAAACAAATCCCCTGACTTTTCATAGGATTTACACCATCACTATTATGGTATTCTCTAGCTGCAAAAGATTGCTATGGCAAAAGTTATTAAGGAAAAAGAGCCAACTCCTTTTTATTTATAGAAATAAAACCTAGCAATCCAAAAAGGCAAAAATAATCAGAGATCTAAAGATGTTAAAAGAATGTATGTTGTTATTACATACAAGGAAGACTTGAAGAGGATTGCAACAGCTTTCAAATACTGCACATTAAAGGTTGCTGTAAAGACGAAAGCAGTAGTTTGTTCTTAGTGTTTCTGCGGGATCAGTCAGCTGGTTTCAAAAGCAAAGGAAGAGCCTTTCCCAGTGTCTAATCCAAACTTAACTGTAGGGATGATAAGCAGCACAACAGAGTGATGGAGAAACTGGAGAATGTAACAGCAGTATAGGGGTACATCTACAAGGGACAAGATGGATTTGATCCTCACTTGGGAAAGGAAGATGGCCAAGATGATTTCTTAAACCCCTTTCCAGCCCTGTTTCTCTATGTGAACCTGCTACTGTAGCTGCAGCTATGCGCATTATGGTTGTGAGCAGAATGCAGGCATACTTCTGCATTGCTAATCTAGATGCTCTGAATACTTTGCTTAGCTATGCTGGTACAAATTTGAAATAATATCCGTGACTCCATTTCCAAATGTTTCCAGTGTAATGGARCATTACATTATATACATAACATTACATACATCTCCTTGGAGACRAGAAGAATAATATTAATATCAAAACATCTCACTATTTTTACYTTTTTACTTCTTTCATACTTTTATCAGAGTTACAGCATCTGCAAATCCCCTGGCTGTTTCCCTGTTACCTCTCTGCATTATGCTAAGCCAGCTTGTTTCAGAGTATGGGCATCTGTGTTGATGGTACAGGAGCAGGGGAGATGTAACAAAATAAAATCTTTAGACAACTCTGTGTTCTAGCCAGGAAGCAAAATTGCAAGAATCCTGCAAACAGCAGGAGAGAGGAATTGGTAAACCAACTTCGGAGGAACTAGACAGCAGATGAATTGGGGAAGCAAGGGGGCATCTGCACTGAGAGAAAGATTTGTCAGAAACACAGCTTGTGTCCCATGTAAGTTACAGTATCTGACCTCATTTTTTGCTAAATTACATGAATTTTCTTTGATGTGAATAAACTTCTATCAAGGACTAGAACAGAATACCCAAGTTACTTTCTGTTAATTACAAAAAGCTAGTTACGTGTAATAACTTGGTCTCTGATGAAACCTTTGCCCTACCAATACACAGTGGTATA